TTCAAATGTGAACTTTGTTCTAAAATGCTTACCCATAGGGGTGCTTTGAACGTGCATATGAGGAAACACACTGGAGATAAAACATTCTGTTGTAAATTTTGTGGCAAAACACTTTCCCATATGGGCGCTTTAAATGTACACATTAGGATGCATACTGGAGACAGTCCATTCAAATGTGAAGTTTGTGCTAAAACATTTACACATAGGGGTGCATTGAATGTACATGTGCGGATACATACTGGAGATAAACCATTCAAATGTGAGCTTTGTGCTAAAACGTTTACCAGTAGGGGTGCACTGAATGTGCACAAGAGGATACATGCCATAGATAAACAATTCATGTGTGAACTTTGTGCTAAAACATTTACCCATCGTGGTGCTTTAAATGTGCACATGAGGATACATACTGGAGATAAACCATTCAAATGCGAACTTTGTGAAAAAATGTTTAGTACCAATAGTAATTTTAAGAGGCACATGAGGGTACATATTGGAGATAAACCATTCAAATGTGATCTTTGTGAAAAAATGTTTATGCGTCATAGTGATTTGAAAAGACACATAATGAGAATACATACTTGATAAAAACCATTCAACTATTAAATTTTTTATTATACTTTGAATGGAGTGGTGCTTTGAAAAATCACATTATGATACACACTGGTAACAAATTAGATAATAAGTGAATATTATACTAAAATTTTCAGTTAAAAGATTGAACAGAGCACAAAAAGATGCATACTGGAGATAAACCAATTAAATGTGATCTTTGAAAAAATATGTGATCTCTGAAAAATAGTGATTTCAAAAGTATATGATACATAATGAAGATAAATCATTCAAATGTGAAACTTGTGATAAAATGCTTGTTTTCCTACTGGAGATATGCCATTCATATTTGTAGGCTTTGATATGCACTTATTGATATATGCAGGAAATAAAGCATCTAAATGGAAGTTGGTGATAAAATGTTTAGGTTATGGTTTGATTTGAAGATGCACATGTCAGAAATAGACCATTCAGATATGAAATCTGTGCTAAACAATTATGTCAAGCAGTTCTTTGAGGAGGCACTTGAAGATGCATACTGGAGAGAAACCAAAACAATAAAGTTAGAGAAAGAGAGAGAGAGTATGTGGTTTTTATTTATATTGATAATTGATTAATAAACATCTGTAAGTTCATGTATATAAATACAGCAAGCTAAATATGCTTGTTAAAAAATAATGGTTCCCGCTGCTATCAGTTTTCATGAAACATTCTTTTCTATCCACTATAACTTTAATATATAGCAAGTATTTTTTATTCAATTGCTTTTAATTTATTTTTTTGAGAATCCACTGTGTAATGTTACTCCATAATCTATTAATTACATCTTTGTTTCCAAAAGAAATGCATTGTTGTTGCTTGTGTGCCATTGTATAATGTACATTTATCAGTATACACAAATGCAGAGTTCTGTGTATAACATATTTAAACGGTCATTTATTAAAAATTTTTTTGATGCTTTGCATAGTTTAGAATGGTCAGTCACTAGCCAAGTGAAATTTTGTTATTGACAAGTTATTTGACAAGTAGGTGAAACATTCAAGGTAAAAAGTAATTTGTAAAACTCTTAACCAATGTTATCAGTGAGAAGATTAACCTTGAAAAGGTTAGGGATGAAATGTCTGGCATATATGACTTTACTCAGTTTTACATTTATTTCTACATAATGATCTTAAAGTCTGAGCAACACTTTGGAAGGCAAGATAATTTTCATTTTTGACATAATATTTATATTCAGAGATTTCAAATAAAAACTTGTCTGCTAAATGAGCACATGACAACCATAAATAATACTGTTATGTACTCTATTTATTCTTTTCAGTGTAGTCATCCATTGGTTCCTTGTCATAAGATCTTCTGTTTGATGTATTAGTTTTTGTATTAAAAGTTTACAAATCAATAAAACATCGAGCCAAAACATATTTTGTCTCCTTTAATAATTTATCTGTAATAATTTTAATAATTTATCTCCTACAATAAAGTGTCATAAATCTCTTGTGATGTATTCAAACAAGTGAACAAAATTTGTTTAAATTATAAGATGTCGACATGATTTTATAGTTAATATAAATGTCTCAATAGGTATCTTTGTTAACCCTTCCTTTTAGATGCTCTAAAACATAATCATCCTTTTAATTCTATCTGCTTTTGACTTCCATACAACAATAAACAATATTTCATTACATTCGCTAATTACATTTAGAGTTGGGTTTGGTAAAGAGATGAACAAATAATGTAATTTTGGAATCACAGGGATTTTCAAAATTATTGCCTTACCAACTGGTGTTAGAGCTCCTTTTGCAACTTAACATAAATGTCTTTACCATCAGGTCACGTTTAAAGAAATATCATTGGCTACATCGACATCTGCATTCTGGTTTTGCCCAATAGGTCTAGCAGGATCGTGTAGACATATTGTAGGTCTACTTTATCAGCTTGCCAAATCCAAAATGCTGGGACAAAGGGCACATCCAGAAGATAAAGCAAAATCATCTCATTCTCAAACCTGGCATGCTCTAAGAGGGGACAAACTTCAAGGAAAAGCAATGCACAATATTGGAATTAGAGAATATCTTAATGCAATGGACTTGGTCAGTGGTGATTTGTTGGAGGATATGTTAATACAATGGACTTGGTCAGTGGTGATATGTCGCCAACATGAGATAAAATATACACTCTACAGTCCTATTGGTGGGGATAATGTTGACTGGGAACACAGTATTTCCATCTTACAAAAGGCTGACAGTTCTATGTTAATTGCATTGCAGTTACCTTTGGCCACAATAGCTCAAATAAATTTTGTTTGGTACCAAGTGGTTCTGTCCTCAGCTGCAAACAAAAGCTAGAGGGTCACCGTAGTATAAATATGTGTGACGATACATCCATTTCCAGACCTGCCCTGTTCTAATTAAATGATAAATCGTCTTCAGATAGCATTAACAAATCCGCAATATATAAAATTTGAAGGTTTAATAATGACCATGGGTTAAATGAGGAAGTTTGAAGAGCAAGCAAGGCTCTAAAACCAGAGCTCGTTATGGAACTAGATAAGAAGAAATAGAATTACTGTATCAAACGTAGGAGAGATTTACAGACGACGCAAGGATCCCACCATCTTTGCGAGAAGGTTAAAATCAGTAAATAAAATATTATAAATGCAGCTATGCGCCAAGGACAGAACCTGAAGCAGCAAAGGCCTGGGTAATACACAAAGAAAACCAATTTGACTTTTATCCATGCGGATGGAATGCAAATTTATGGTGTCCTTGGTTTGGTGTAAGTCCAGACAGAAACGTATACAATCCCCAAAATATTCCACCATTTGGTTTATTAGAAATTAAGTTTCCTGAAGCAGGGAGTGTCCAAGAAGTCAAATATCAGGCTAAATAACAAAATGCAGTTATGAAACTGAAGAAAAATCATCAGTGCTATTATTAAATTTTGACACAGCTTGCAGTTACTGGATTACAGTGATGTAATCTTTTGATCTGCTTGCAGTTACTGGATTACAGTGATGTAATCTTTTGATCTGTAGTCAAAATGATCAGCATTTAGAAACCGTATATTTTAACCAAACTGTCTGGCAGCAAGTAAAGGACAAAGTAGATGGCTTTATTTCAATTAGTGTCTGTAACAAGGATCCAACATTTGACCATGATTGTACAATGGGACCTATAAAATATGCAATTAAACAAGCAACACACCAAAATTGATTTATTAAACCAGTTAACGAAAGGGGAATAGGAGAATCAAATAAATGATTATCTTTTATGCGTCTGTTCATGCATTCAATATGAATCCTACGTTTCGCAATTTGCTGTTTTTACAATTTCGCTGATAAACTAGATAATTATGCAATTTTTACATCAGACATGCAGCCAGTATAAAATGAAAAAAGTATAAAAGTGAAGATATGAAAGCCATTTCTCCATTAGGTGCAATACAAAAAAGAAATTTAAATGTATTGGTATTTTCGTAATTCGAAACTGACTGGGAGCTAAGTAAAAGGGACGAATGTTGTTGAGTTCTTATCTTGGTACAATCAATTATGATTCTCTTGGTAACTAAATAGGAATGGAACCAAGAAAAAAATACATAAAGTTAGCCCAAGAGACAATTTTACAGCTTACTGTTGCCAAAGAAAAATTGAATCCAACACTAGATCTTGCTCACGAAGGCCAGCTTTTAAACGACAAAGAAACGTGAACAATTCATTTATAATGAGTATGCTACGTTTTCTATCTGCCAGAATAAGTTTCTCTACTTTTGTAATAAGCACTCTGCATGGTTTGAGTTGATGGCTGAATACGAGTAAAGAAAGCAGTAAAAGTGTCATAGGAGGAAAGACCTGTATAGAACAATATATGAGAGTTGTCACTTGAAAACCTATTTAAACCTATATGTTCTATTTCAAACTGGTGTTTTAGTCTTTCGCATTCTTCCGATTTATGCCGAAGTTTCTCCTCTAAATCTTCTATCATTTGCTGACATAAGGATTGTCCTTGATCGTCATTACCTGATTTAGCTTCTGTATCAGCAAATAGATCTTTCACAGTTGTATCATTATCAATTCTGTTAAATGAAAATAAGCATCATTGTACAATCGAACAAGATTATATCATTGTAATGTTATCAAAACAAAAACATATTTCACCCGTTTTTGGTAATCTACTGTATCTACATTTACGTGTGATGTAATAATGACTCTCTTAAATGGCTTGGCTACAATGTGATTTTTAAAGAACTATTTCATTAAAATGTTGCAATGAAATTTTGTATATAATTGTATCAATTACTGTTGTTGTAATAAATTCATGGTTTAAAAGCAACTGAAAAAAATTCTTGTTGATTTTCCCAATCACTTCACACCCAGTCACATTATCCTTACACAGGCCAACCAGTCCTAACACTAACCTCTTAATGCTGAGCACCATTTTTGTAAGCCTTTGGTATGACTCGAAAAGGGATCGAACCCACGATCTCCTACATCTAAAGCGGACGCTCTAACCACTAGGACACCGAAGCGGTTGTTGCTTTTGTAATCTAGTCAATGCAAAAAAAAAAACAAGATATGTTGCATACAAGGAATAATGCACAATATTATTACTAACATATTACTACTGAGTAGCAAATGACTGGTTTTTTTTTTTATAAATGTATACGGTAGAAGAGAGCAAGTCTTTGGGAAAAAAGAACCTTTAAATACTGAAAACTAGTAAATAAAATGAAATATTAAACATTACTTCATGTTTCTAAAACAAATATTAAAGTGCAAAAGCTTCATTTAAACTTGAGTAAAAAATGGATATAATTTAGAATACTTGGAAAAAATGGGCCTTCATTTCTTCTTTTCTTAGTTATCCATTGCTTTTACAAAATTGGATTCTTAGGAATTGAATATCGTCAATCTAGGTACAATGGGGCACACAACAATGCCGTGCTCATTTTCTGCTAGTTTTCCTACGGTCAGTCATAACTTCAGCAGCTTCTATTACAGCGTGCTCAGTTAGCCTCGTTCTGGCAATGAATCTCGGGCACGCGTATAATTTGAGAGAAGTCCATATCTTTGCAATCGATCCTTTTGTGTTAAATTCTGACTACGGTAGGATAGAAAGCATATTATCACTGAAGTATATGAAAAAAAAAAAAAAAAGAATTGGTACTCTGATAGCTGTAGTGGCAGAAGGAAATGCATACTACATCTAAACTATTCAAAAACCAAATTTGTGGTAAAACTTCATTGTACACGAAGATACATACTGGAGATAAACAATTCAAATGTGAAGTTTGTAATAAAATGTTTTCTAAGAGCAGCAATTTAAGCAGGCACATGATGATCCATACCGGAGATAAACCATTCAAATGTGATGTCTGTGATAAAACGTTTCGGCAAAATGGTACCTTGAAGACGCACATGATGATTCACACCGGAGATAAACCATTCAAATGTGATGTTTGTGATAAAATGTTTGCCCAAAGTAGTCCACTAAAGACACACATGAGGATACATACGGGAGATAAACCATTCAAATGTGAAGCATGTAATAAAGTGTTTCGTCAGCAGAGTGCACTAAAAGGGCACTACTGGGTACATATTGCAGATAAACCATTCAAATGTGAAATTTGTTTATCTATGTTTTGGAAAGCTAATGATTTGAAGATGCACATGATGATACATAATGGAGATAAACCATTCAAATGTGAAGTATGTGATAAAATGTTTGCTCAGAGTAGTGATTTAAAGAGGCACAAGAGGATACATGTTGGAAATAAGCGATTCAAATGTGAAGTTTGTGATAAGTTGTTTAGGCAGAATGGTGCATTGAAGATACACATGATGATACATACTGGAGATAAACCATTCAAATGTGAAATATGTGATAAAATATTTGTGCAGAGTGGTTACATGAAGATTCACATGAGAATACATACTGGAGATAAACCATTCAAATGTGAAGTTTGTGGTAAATTGTTTTGGCAAAGCGGTGCTTTGAAGAGACACACAATTACACACATTAGAGAAAAAACATTAAAATAATTAGCCTTTTAGCTCTGAAGATTTTCCTTAAATTGGGCTTTTAATTTGGAGTGTTGATTTCTTTGTATTATCTAAATCATGTTTCCATATTTATGATGTTTATTTAATATGACCAGAATGGGAGACAGAAATAGTCTTACAATTAACAAAGGTTTTTTTTTTCAGAATTGGGGCAAGTGACTATGATAAACTTGTGTTCTGTCTCAGATTGCTGCAGCCCTTTCTGAAATTCTGTGTGACCAAATGGACCCAATCATATTTCTTATTATTTTGACACAATGTTGAAATTTCATTTAATTAAACATTAAAAAATACACAGATATCTAACAACATTGACTTGTATGCCTTTTCGCCTCTCAAAATATTTCACATAAAACAATTCTTTCATTGATGTCCTGATGTCAACCATTGTCATTTTCCCTAAGGTCAACAATATGTAAAGACATACATGTTGGGCAAGTCTCTTTAATAGGTCACATGCTCTGACATAATTTATTTGTTCTATTTATTGATTTTGATCCATTAATCCAGGCAAAAAAAGCAAAACAAATGGCCATCTCTTTGTAATTATGGTATTGATTCCAATTTTCAGAAAAGGTTCTCAAAATCAAAAACACTTGCAATTTGGTATGAACTCTAAATAATTATGGCATCCAATTTGGGATTTTTAATTGTTTGTCTTTCATCATAATTTGTATGTAGGTATAAATATTTGGGGCTTTTGGAGTAATTTCATTTTCTGAATGCAGTAAAATTACACGTTGTCCAATTAAAGTTCAGAACAGAAATGCAGTAAGATAGTGTATCATCAATCAGTAAATGCAGTAGCTTTAAGCTTGTAGTTAGACCATGTGACAATAATGCTTTTGTGTCACATTTGAGGAAAGCATTCATTCCATATAACTTGAATCAGTGGCCACCATTTCTTTGAACTAAGAGAATTTAAATAAAATGTAATGATCTCAGTTTCTTTTGGTGATAAATCGGTGATAAATCATTGCATATTACATACTTAGCATTTTGCTGTGTATCCATGGTCTCCCAATGGACCTTAATGATGGTCATCATGAATAGTCCATGTAGTTTCTCATAGTAGATTGCCCCTATTAGAAAGTCCCAGAAATATAATTATGTAATAGTGTATGTCTGTAACCTCTTGGTTCAGCTACAGTATACTGTGCAGAACACTGTATGAATTGTACACAAAGACATTTAATATGCACAGACTTGCTTACTAAACCACATACATGTATTATGAGAGATGGAATACAAATTTCATAGATGGGAATGTTGAGATCTTTCAGTTGTTTCACAAAATATACAAAGATTTACACACACACACACACACACACACACACACATATATATATATATATATATATATATATATATATATATATATATATATATATATATATATATATATATATGTATCACTATATATGCTTTTTAATCTCTCTCTCTCTCTCTCTCTCTCTCTCTCTCTCTCTCTCTATTTTTTAAGTCTACTTTTCGGCCCATTCTTTTTGCTCCTTCTTGATTTCGTCTTTAAGGACATCTTCATTCGGGTCTTGGGATACTTTCAACATCATGACATTCTCTATCTCATCAGGCTTGGGTATCGGGTTTTTCCTGACGCGATGCAAGTGGACGCGTGCTTCATTCAGCTTTGCTAGTCTTGAAGTCATCTTTGTAGATTGACGCATTAACAATGGATGGCTAGACTAGAGACCGCCACATTTATATAGCTCAAGTGCGGACGGACACGATAGGAAAAATCTCTACGATAGCTTTGGGTAGGAACGCTATGGATTATGTAATATTGAGAGAGAGAGAGAGAGAGAGAGAGAGAGAGAGAGAGAGAGAGAGAGAGAGAGAGAGAGAGAGAGAGAGAGGTTAAAAAGCATATATAGTAATACAAGTTTTAAAACAAACCATTTACACTTATTTCAAAATGTATAATATTTTGATCCAACCCACATTAACTAACACATAATAAAACAATCCATTCAATATCAAAAAACACAGTTTTAACATTACTGACAACATTTTGAAGTCAAGTTAGACTTCCACTGACGGGGATCATTTAGCCCTACACTACACTACACTACATTTCCTAGCTAAAAACAAGAGATATTCTCCCATTCAGAGGGAAAGGAGTCTTTCTATACTTCTAATAATCAAGAATGACTTCTGTCAAACTCTTGAGTTCTAAAGTGTTGTCAAATTCTGCATACAAGTTGAATTCCCCGTGTTGGGTCGAGTTTCTGCAAACTGAAATTTCACATGCAGTTTGCCAGATTGTATAGGGCGGAAATGTCCCTCGTCGCTTCATTTGTATGGTGGGAAGTAAAAGCTTCATGGGGAGAGAATGTCAACACAGCCTGTTATTTCCTTGTCTCAGGGCAAACCCTACCGAAGATTCTATTAGTCCTTAGCTTTGCTTTCAGGTCTACATATAATCGTATGTATAGTAAATATTGCATCGGGTTTTTATGGCATTTTACATTTGGGGCATTTGGAGTAATTTCACTTTCTGAACACTATAATAGCCTCAATGTTTTCCTTGATTAAATATAGTTGGATCAACCTTGACTTTAATTACATTTACAAATAGTTGGCTGAAATTACTATCTAGTTCATGTGGAATTAATGATAATGTGTGACATTTGCAGACATCACCCAGTGTATATACCTAGAAGCACTGTCCAGCAATTCATTCAGCTTCATGGATTTAAATACAGTATAATGTAATGAACTTTTTTTCTCAGACAGAAGAAACATCGTACTTCCGGTTTTTATAATGCCCTAGCACTACTTGTCAATATACTTAACCAATGATGCATTACTAGGTAAGCATGGGGAGGAGACATCTTATGATGATTCATGCTGTTCAAGTGGACGTTCGTAAGTCACGTGATTTATTTAAGATGTACAAAACACGTATAGCTTTTGATACTGCTGTGTGGACAATCATCATGATGTGGAACTGAGCATTAATATTTTTCAAATGTCTTTCATGAGCTTTAGAATAAATATTTGGTATTTAGTCAGTAACTTAAGGGGTTTCTTTCAGGCAAATTATAGTTTCTGCATAAATCCATGTTTGTCGTGACTCCCCAACAAATTTCAATAATGAAAATCTTTCATGTGATAAAATGTGCACAGAATTTAGTTCATTCATTGATTTATAATTTCTAACCAGACTGGCTTATGTGGCTTTAACTCTGGCATCGTCTTAGCGTTTCATGCATAGCGAATTTTTCATGCTAACACATACTGCGTATACAGTGGCCAAGTCAAGTGTCCTCAGAAAATAGTGACATAGTTCATCATGTTCGATAGCTGCCGGACAATTCAGTAATGACCACAAGGTTGAGAGTTTAGAATTTATACCAATGCAAAACTTGTACAGAGAAATTTCACTGCTTGTTAAATCCACATGAAAGAGAAATTTTTAGGTACCATTTTTTTTTCTTTTTGAATC